ACACACACACACACACACACACACACACACACTCACTCAACACTCTCTCTCACCTGCACCTGTAACTTTGATTCTTTGACATCAGACTGTTTCTTTCTCTGTCAATTACATTGTTGTTTTTTCCGTAAAAAAATTTTTTTTGTATGTCGTTTTGCACAATTTCACTTTGCTCGTTTTTATTTGTGTATTTGCAAGCAAATGCAAACATGTAATGAAGTATATGTCACGTTTAAACTGAAATGGTCAGGGTTTCTCGGGCTCTGCGTCTGGTTTGAGGTCTCTCCGGGCCGAGCTTTACCAGCGCATAATTTGTCTGAATGTCATTTGCAATTTTCCAAAAGTTCTTTCTGAACGGGACGGCTCTGTGAAACACATCTGCAACAAATACCTGTTTGGGAATTTAACAGGACCCGTCCCGACTCGTTTCCACATGGCAGAAACACGCAGACGGCAGTAGCTGCAGCGATGGGTGATAGTAGCGCAGTGAAACACGCATATGTTCCAGATCTATTCTGCAGAAGCTGCTATAATCAGCTCTAATTGACTTCCCTGCTAAATGTGTTTCTGACTGGCCATCTGGCCTCAGGACCTCCTCACAACGAGCGAGCGCTGCTTCAGCGCAGGAAAACACCAGGCCATTCATGCCCCTCCGACACCAGCGAACACTGCTCATCTTTTCCAACGTCGTGTCTGTGACGATTAGCACAGACAGCAATCTCCATGATTTTATCCAGTAAAGCGCTGCACAATCATACGAAACATGGGATATTTCTATACTGTTGTTGAATCATTGACGTGAACTCTTCAGTATTCGAGTGTCTCAATCATCTTTTAGTGGTGCTACAACTGTTCTGGATGAAGGAACTGCTGGCTGTGTTACTCGCTGCAGATGCTGCATGCAAACAACCTCACGGATCGTCACTTCACATGCCTTGCTGTGCAAACATCACGTGAAGGCCACGAGGTTTACTCAATGAGCAACTGGAATATCACTTTAGTCAGGACTGGTGAGTGATTCTGTCACACTAGCCTCATGTGCTTATACTTTCTAACCGCTGTAGTTTCAAAGATGCATTTACAGTGCTGCACACTCGTCTGCTCCACCAGCAGTGCTATAGACCTCAGTCAGAGAGGACGCCATACTGTGCTTTATATTAAATATGGCATTTCCTTGACTAAAGTCTATTAGATTTACATGAAACATGTTTCTTATTTGTTTGTCCAAACTGTGGATTGAGTGATTGTCTGCTCACACAGACATCATAGATCAGAGCTTTCATACATGAGCATCGGCTGTGCTTCAGTCCACACAAAACCACGCTCGCTCTGAGCTTCATCCGCTCGTGACCCAGACTCTAGATCTCATTCAGACACTGACCGTGGCTCCGTCTCGGAGCTTGAGGATGCACTCCATGGTGTTGATGGTGATGACCACGGGCTCCGAGCTCAGTTTGGTCCAGGGCACGTGGATGCGCAGCTCGTGGATGTGTCCGCTCAGAAAGGTGAAGGGCAGCTTGAGCTCCTGCAAACACACACGCAGCCCATCAGTCAAACATGAGTTCAGCAATTCAACACTCACAATCAAACAGAACCCATTCACAAAGGCTTCAAACGCTTCCCGAGGCGTCCTGACAGGATTCCAGAGTGGCTTTAATTGAAGATCACTAGAGAAAGTTTAACTCCCACTCGGGACGACGCAATCTGCTTCTAATAATATCCTGCATCAAACTCTGAGAGCGTGTGCGGAGCCAAACATTCTCACAACATCACACAGTGATCCGTTCCAGATATTACAACTGCAAAAGCTCAGTGTTGCCCAAATAAGAACGCAAAGCAAATGCTCTGCTGCATGTATGTGAGAGCTGGGAAACATCCACAAACATCCACTTCAACCCTTCAGAAACACTGACAGCTTTGAAGAAACAACATGAAAACACTCAATACTGACACCTCTAAGGAACTCAGCTGAAAATATCATTTCAAGTTTAAAAAAAAAAAATGTTGGCTGTGTTTTATCAATATTCATTCTGATTTTGTTTTTGCAAACTGATGCAGAATGATTTCAGAATCAACTGACCCTTTGCTACTGACCAGTCCTACCTTAGCAACTGTTTCCAAGCTTTTGCTTGTTTAAATGTAAGTCTATGATCTGCGTGTTTGCACAGCAATTTTACAGAAATGATCTCAAAATAAGGTTAAACATGGTTGTCGGGTCTCTTCTGCTAGCGACACTGAATTTTCCCTTTTCAAATACCTGTGGTGTATTACTCTCTGTGTCGCCCTCATTCCCGAATGAACACGAACATATTCATCTGATCCAGACGACTGCAGGGTGACAGTAGCTCAAGTACAGCAGTGAACGCACCACTGAAAGGTACCTGAACAAAACTGCTCCTCACACTAATGCCATCAGCTGTAATTGCTGTCAAACGAGACTTTCCTCGTTGCATTTGACTCGATTCTGATTCTCACAGATTGAATCATGCAAATGCATTATTTAATCATTTCATGCAGTAAATCTGACGGATAAAAATCATTCCTTATGCTTGTTTGAAATATCCACAGTAACCAAGGCTTAGGCTGTTTTACATATCCACCGTTTTCCTACATTTGTGCTTTGTGTAAATTATGGGAGTAACATCCGTCAGACCGTAAACAATCTGCACCTGCCAGCGAATGAATGCAATGATAAACATTTTCAAAAACTAAATACAGAGATGTGACATTACTCTCCTCACCTTCAACCATCGAACACTGAAAGGAAACTTATATGAACAAACTACTCTCAGCAAACCATGAATGAAATCTCAGGAGATATTACAGATGTCTCAGATATTCTGGCAGTACATTATTTTCCCGAGGAATAAAAATAGAGCGTGATGGAAAATGTCCAGATCCTTCAGTCAGAATGATTTGTTTCAGTCCTTCTGGGTGGCAGATCCCGAAACCAGAAGTGCCGCCATATTTTAAAATGCAGTAAAGCTCCTTCAGAAAAGGCCCACAGAAGACCATGAGTGAAGGAAAGCTGTGCTGTGCTGTCAAACCGTGTGTTGATGCTGTGACTCTCTCACCTGCTCCAGCACGTCCAGTCTCAGGTCCAGTTTGCTCAGAACCACGTCGCCGCCCCATAGTGACAGCTGCAGGTCCGACGGCTTCAGGTTCTTTATGTAGCGGTTCACATAACTCATCAAGAGAGGAGAAACATAGGACTCCAGCATCCTGACCTTCTGTCATGCCTGCGGGCGCGCACACACACACACACACACACACACACACAAACAGTTAGACAACTGTAGAAATTAATCTCGATTTCTAATAGACCATCATTAAAAGCGCTGATCAGCTGTCATCTGATTTAAACCTCACTGACAGAATTTTCCACAGAACATATGACTGCCGCTCATCCATCGGTCGCTGAACAAACACAACATTTACCGGAATAGATCTGAGCAGCAGGTGCTGTAACCCTAACTGAGGTCACCGGGGTGTACATAATAAAAGTCTAAAATATATATTTTTACCTTTATTTCTATAGAGCTTTATACAATACTGATTGTGTCAAAGCAGCTTTACAGAGTCAAACAGGAAAATAGTTTGTCAATGATGCAAGACGACGATAAAAGTCATTTTCCAGCTTATGCTGAGTTCACACTGCACGATTTTAGCCTGATTTTTCACTCGCCGACAGGTTTTGCGAAATCGCCGACAAATGCCTGACATCGGAGGCAAATCGGTGCTCGTTCACGCGAGTGACAATCACACAGTGTGAATGATCAAAGACGCGATCTGAGGGAGTCGCCGACGCCCATGAAATGTTTGGCATGCTAAATATCTGGAGCTGTCGGCGATTCAGAATCACGCTGTGTGAAATTAGTTCTGACCGAAAAACACATCGGCGATGACCTACAGCCAATGAGAGAGCATGATACAGGGCAGCGGGAAGTTCGGGGAGGAGTTATATGAAACGTAGTTTGTGGACCAGTGTTGCCAAATCCGCAATTGCCGCCGGTTGTTTTTTATGTCAGCAGGTTGAAGTGACCCCAATAACGTGATATTTAGGCCCTGGAATGTGAATTGTACCTGAAGAACATCGCCAAAAAATTTGTATTTTACCCCCAAACGTGATTTTTACTGGGGGACCCCCACGAAAGCAATTGGGCTATTGTCAGGCAAGTTTTGAGTAGTAATTGGGCGGGTTTTGTAGCGAAAACCTGGCACCCTGCACCAGACAGAGCTGTCGGCGATTCTTCCTATTGTGGAGTCATGCAGTGTGTAACCTCCTGTCGCCGATCCATCGTGCAGCGTGAACACAGCAGCAACTGAATGCTACCCCAGATAGTCACGCAGTGTGAAAACAACGGCGATCCGTCTTCCTATTGTGGAGTCATGCAGTGTGTAACCTCCTGTCGCCGATCCATCGTGCAGCGTGAACACAGCAGCAACTGAATGCTACCCCAGATAGTCACGCAGTGTGAAAACAACAGTGATGCGACGAGTTTGAAAATCATGCAGTGTGAACTCGGCATAAGTATGACAAAGAAACCAAAACTCCATCAGTGACAGAAATGGAGAAAACACCTTGGGAGAAACCAGACTCAGTCGGGGGCCAGTTCTCCTCTGGCCAGACCAAACCAGCATGATGTGGTTTAATTCCAGGCTGCAGCACAGGTCAGATTGAGCAGAGGACTTGTCTGGTTCCGTGTTACTAGCGAATGTTAACTGTACTTTGATGCTGTAATTTAATGTAATTCTGTCTCTCATCAGAACCGCCTCAGCCTCTGACAGCGCTCATTAATGTTACAATGATTAATGTGGCCAATCAAATCAAAGGGGGCGGGGCTTTACTGACGCTTCAGATTTAACGGTCAAAGCGCGCGATGTAAGATTTAATATTTCAGTCACAACAGTTTTACAAAAGAATCTTAAACAGCTGACTGTAATATTCAGCAAAACTAATCAACTTTTGTCAAATTCCGCCGTTTTAAATAAAAAATATATAATTTACGTAATTCATGTAATGTAAGAAACTTTAAATGCCAGTATATTCAGCATATTAGACATAAGATTAAGAGTGAATGTGTGCGTATTGTGCAGGGCTGTACGTTAACTTTTTTTTCACATAGCACTGGTGCTACAGAGGTTGAAAGTTTTGTAGCACAGGCCAAAAAGTTGTAGCACAAGTATAAAACGTCTGTTATCATGTCTGAAAACAAACACAAGTAATGGAGTTCATCTTTCATTTTAGACATGACCAACTGTGTTTATATATATGTAAACCTTGTGTGTTTTTGACCGTATTAGACGCGAAAGACAACTTAGTCCAGTAATCAGGCGCTTTTTGACAGGCTCTCAGTGGCGCTTCATGAGTACGCGCTCAGAAAAAGCGCATGCAGAACAGCACGTGAATTAAATGTTTAACCGGTATTGCTTTAAAGCAGATGGAAATAGTGTAGTTTTGTGATTGCGCATAAGTGCAGTGTCCCGTGAGAGTAACTCTACCGCTGAGCTAACACTGATGTGAATGCATGTGGCTTTGTACATTATATTGAGACGGAGGGAGGCGCCAGAACTGCAGCTGATAGAATGCACGCTGTAGCAGATACAACGATATTTCTTCAAAAGCAGATCGTGGAGACCTTCAAAAATCGTCATATCGCACACCCCTAACTACCAGGTATAATCAAGCTCACACACACAAACAAGCACAACGAAATCACTTCACACTATTAAGCGGCTGTGTTATGAACATGCGAAACTGTATCGCACCCGTGCTACAGAGGTACATTTATTCATCGCACAGACCAGTTATTTCGTAGCACGTGCGACATATATGTCGAACTGTACAGCCCTGGTATTGTGAATTAATTCATGAACTTGGGTACCTGTTTTTCTGATATCCTTTCAATAAATTCACTTCATTCATAAAAGTGTGAGAGTTATGAAGCTCACTCCTCCATCAGGATCAGGACAGTCATTTAGACCATTACACTCGTTCACTTTTTAATACATTTGAGCTCTTCAACTATTTTTATGTATTCTTATTTTTATGTATTCCTTTAAATTTTTCTTTTTGATGAGAAATGTCTATTTTGATATCCCTGTGTCTGTGCTCGAGAAGTTAAAGGAAGAATTCACCTAAAAATAACAGCAACCCACATGAAACATGACAGATTTCTGACAGAAATTAAAAACACGAATTGTGCCAAAAGCCCAAAATGTATTACAAGTTATTAGAGGCTTTTTTTTTTCAAAAGTTATTAAAGTGTGGGCCTTAATTTGACTGAGTAAGCGGGTCATTTCTGCACCATTAGACCCCGTGTTTACTTTCCTCACTGACACTCTTAGCAAGCTCGGGTTTGATCGCTGTTTCTAAAGCCTTCATGATCAACATGAACATCACACGACACACTTCAGACCGCGTGTCACACACACACACACACACACACACACACACTTACAGCTTCATCCGACGCGTCAGACTCCTGCAGAAACACAAGCCGCGTCCATCACTTCCGCATACACAACGCCTGCGTCGACACGTCACTTCCGGCACAGGGCTGACGCGAACCAGACGTGTGCGCGCGCGTCATGGCAGCATTGCGTAAGCGAGCGACGCACGCGGCGTTATAACAAGTTAGATGAAGTTCAGCTTTTAAGCGACGCGTCTTCAGACTTTGCGTTTTGTCATTCCCTGCACTGTCAGTGTCTAAATAAGAATTATTAGTGTATGGTCGTGTATATTTATTCATGCAGAACGCGTCTCGCGCCCATACACTAATAATTCTTATTTAGACACTGACAGTGCTGTGTAAACGCGTTAGTTTGAGGCTCTGCTCGACTCTTTAATGAGCGATATCATCATCATCATAAACACTAAATCTCCATTATTAAACATACTAATGATTTACAAATACTGTGAGTTGATTTCATTGAACACTGATAGAGTCATAATCAATAAATCCGCATGAAACGCTGTGTTTTCCTCTGAATCGCACTGATTTATGAGTTATCTCTTCAGACTGCTTCTTTCTGGAGTATTTGATCCCAGGCCTTTGATGGGAATCATTGCAGTTTCCTGATCCAAAATACAGCGTCTCCGTGTTTTATTACAGGACTTATATAGGTTTATACGAAATGATCAGAAGAACTCTACAAATTAATCTGCTATTAATTTCAAGAGTGTAATTTCACGGGCTCATAACTCACCCGTGTCTTTGTTGAGTTTTTATATTTTCGATCAACAGATTTCTAGATGAGCTTCTCTCGATCTTCCTTCTCTCTGTGTTTCTGCAGCTTTGCTTTTCACATTGTTCATGTTTTAAAATAACGATTATAATATTTATATATTATACTATTTATATGCACAATAGCTATATTTATTCACATTGTGTGTTTTTAAGACGAAAGCATAAATATGTTACACATACACCTCAAATTAGAGATTTAATAAATAAACGCGTTTTCTGGTTTAATGTGCATTCTGCAGATCAGTTCACATGCAGAGAAATATTAATTAAATCGAGTTACGCTTTTAATGGTGTAACTAACAAAGAAAGTCCAGACAGCTAAATGTTATAATTGTCATTAATTCTTACAAAAAAAAAGCGTAAACTTAAAATGTCTAACTTCTTACACAATCACCGTATTTCAGCTGTGAATGTTAGTTAGAAAGCTCAGCAGCCTAATAGTTCTGCAGGTTACTGCTGACAGTTTTTTTAATAATAACTAAAATTAGATAACCATGTCGGGACATTTAATTCCATATTAAAATAAAAGATTATTATTACAAAATGTAAAAAGTGGAAAAGTAGAGTTTTTTTTTTTTTTTTTTACAAAAGTCTAGTCACCGTTTAAAAAAAGAAAACTATTTTATTAAAGCAGAATTGTGTCCGTCTCTTCTCACTCACATTTGATTGTCTTTGACTCGAAGATGTTTTATTAATCCTGCGCTCATGTGAGCAGATCAGCCGCTTTATTCACACAATGAATCCTCCCAGGTGTGAACAGATCGAAACACGTTGAGTTCAGAATCAGATGCAGGTGAAAATAAAAATAACAATAAAAACTTTACACGAGTTCCCAGAGTCTGTTGAGGCAGAGGCTGAGAGCAGAGTGAGCGTGTGTGGGAGTCACTGGTTAGTGCACTAGTTAGTAGTCCTGCTGCGGGCTGTGTGTCAGACTGTGGCGTCGCAGGTCGCAGTTGCGCCGAAACAGCTTCCCGCAGCGGCCGCAGGAGAAAGGCTTGAGGTCTGTATGGGTGAGAAGGTGAGTTTTCAGGTTACTTCTTTGATTAAAGGTTCTTCCGCATGTGGGGCATTTGTGAGGAGATTCCTGTTCAGATTTGAAGCAAGCAAAGGATTATTCCCTTCAGTTTTCCATCAAAAATAAACGCTTCAATGTCAACATTTCAGGCCCAGAGATGTTTATATAGGCCCATGCATGCTCGTCTATAATCGACAGCCCCAAACATGACATTTTAATTAAGAGCTCAACGAACAAAATTCTGTTTGTGCAGAATGTCATTCACATACAGAAGGTACAAATGAGGCCAATTTACCTGCAAGTGCAACGTTTTATGAACCGCCAAAGTTCGCGACTGACAAAACCCCTTCCCGCACTCCTGACATTTGAACGGTTTCTCCTTGGAGTGAATATATCTGCAAAACAAGCGAGAATCCATTCTGATTTATTAGCTTGTTTACCCGTGGGGACCTAAATTTAGGTCCCCACCGTGACACGAGTCCCCATGAGTCTGTGTGTATTCAGGTTTAAGTCCCCACCAGTATATATAAACCAGTACACACACACACACACACTCTCTCTCACACACACACACACACCTGTGGTCTCGCAGGTGGTCTTGTCTCCGGAACGCTTTGTGGCAGATGTCGCAGGTGTAAGGCCGCTCGTCGGTGTGTGTGCGCTCGTGGATCAGCAGGTTGTAGGATTTGGTGAAGTGTCTCCCGCAAAATTTACAGATAAATTCCTTTTTGCTTTTGGACGGGAGTCTGCCGCGCGCGGGCTTGCGCTCCGGGGAGAGTTTGGCCAGCTCGCCCGGTTTGGGCGGATCCTCCTGCGTGGCCGCCGCCGCGAGGTTCGCGAAGTCGAATCTGGGTCTGTCCTTGTGCAGCGCGGCAGCGACGGGTTTGGGGTGGAAGAGGTGCGCGGCGAACGGAAAGCGCGGGTCCACGAGGCCCTGAACGGGCGGGTAGCCCAGAGTCCAGTGGTTCATCTGCATGGTTTGGACCGAGCTCAGGCCGTACAGATGATCCACGGCGGCGGGGAACGCGTTGAGCGTCTGCAGGAACGCGTAGTTGAGCTGCAGGGCCGGGTGCAGCGGGATCGGGGCCGGTAAAGCTTTACTGCCCATCTCGGAACCGAACTCGAGGATCCTGAGAAAACACACGCAAACCAAGCCGTTAAACTCCAGTCACGAAACACCGCCTTGTTTTCCCCACTTTTTTTTTTTTTAAGTTGTTTCTTTTCTCAAATTATGATACATGGAAAACATTGGCTATATTTTGCAGTATTAATTATTATTCGTTTTCTAATTGTCTCGCATGGAAAGCATATGTCATAATTGTATTATGCCCAGATTTGTTTTTTTATTATTAAATATAATTCTTCTCCAGTTTTTTTCTTCTTCAGTTTTTGTCCCGTGCCGTCGCTATTTAAACATGAAAACGCTTTTAAGACCGCCAGTAACTATATTTCTATAGAAAAAAAATCGGTTTTCAAAATCTCTTCATAATCCTCACCAGAAATCACAGAAAACCCCGAAAGAGCCGAACTGAGATCTAGAGCAACGAGTTTAACTGGATATTGATGTCGTTTCGAGCGACTCTAACAGGCCTAATATTAAACTAGACTTAAATCTCTGAAAGACAAGATAAAGTTTAGTGTTTGAGATCTTCAGATACCAGACTGCTTCACTCTTCATGCTAAATATTTCAATATTATTATGAAGAAAGTCTCATATAAATCACCAGTCATTAACTGTTCACGAATATTTCGCTGACCTCTATAAGACAAAATGTGTTTCTATTAATATCCGTGTTTTGCACACTGATCCAGATGTGATTAGAGCTACCAATCACCAACTTTACGATGGGGAAAAAAAGACAAACAATTCTATTTCTTGGACTATAACACCATCATAAAATCGCTTAACTTTAGGATCAATATTTAATTTACATTTACTGCAGGCGTTTGTCATTCGTGAGAGTTCGTGCATTTCTATCAAACAGAATAAAGTTGTTTTCTCACCCACGATGCCAAAGGTCGCAGTTCGACTGTAAGTCCGCACAAAGCGAGAAACTTCAGCTCAAGTTCATAACTACAGTTTAAACATGCTAAAGCGTGTCAGCCTCAACAGTGTGGTGTGTGAGAGTCCGGATCTGCGCTGGACCTGCTCTGGACCTCCGGAGCCCGCAGTTCTTCTTCTTGTTCGAGCGGCGGAGCTTCACGGACCCGCCCCTCTTGAGGAAACGCTTTAATTTCTCAATCACATCTCAAAGTGATAGTTCACTCAAAAACCTGAAATCTCCTCATGTTCTCGCCTCACATCGTTCCAAACCTGTATGGCTTTCTTCTTCTGCGAAACAAAAACGAAGATGATTTGAGAAATGTCTCTGTGTTTGTTTCTTTTCTCTCTCTCTCTCTCTTTTATTTTAAATTTTAGTCAATATTAAAGTCAGTGTTTGTTTGGTTCCAAACGTTCTTTAAAATATGACTTGTGTTTCACAGAAGAGAGAGAATCACAGGTTTGAATAACATGAGAGTAAATTATGACAGAACTATCATTTTTGAATAAACCATCAGTATTAAACGGGCTGTTATTGATTCGTCTTTGTTCGGCTCAATTAGGCTAATTGTTTCAGATTTATTTAATAATGTGTCATGATGATCCAACAGATAAACCTGACCTTAAACATTAATACCTGAAAAACACCTTTAATTCTCCTGCAGTCGCGTTCATCACTTCTGCTTCTGAAACATTTCCAGTTCGTTATTAAAAACTAAACCAGCTGGCATAAGCATGTTTGCGTCAAAAACATAAGAGCATAGTTTAAATAGCAGTAAACACGCAGCCTAATTAATTTCCTAAATTAACAGAACATGTACAAAAACGTTTTAGCAAAAAAAAAAAAAAAGTAACATATATTGCAAATTACATTTTTTTTGTATCTTTATATAAATATCTTCATAACCTTCTGATCAGAATGTATTTAAAATGAACGTAGGATTATTAATTATGTCGTTTGCTGCGATGTTAATGATGTCATTTATGTTAAAAATAATAAATAGGCTATAAATAAAGCAGACTATTTCTTTAAAAAAAATCGGTGATTTATTATAGATTAGCCTTTAGCTTTTATCGTAAAAAAGAAACGAATAAAATTAATTAATAATAATAATATTACATTAAAATAAAAACTTGTTATTGTGTTTAGATCGCGTTCATGAATCTAGTCTATACTGAGTTGAGTTAAGCAGCTCATTCGTGTTTGTGGATGAGCAGATATGAATATGATGATCAACAGAGTAAACATATCAGTGAGCGTTCATTTGATCAACTCTTCCCAATGATCTCGACCGAAACAACTGGACTTCACTGGTGTTATAAGCGTTATTTATGTTATCTTCCGTGTGCAGAAACAGAGATGAATGTCTGAATGAGTGAAGAGCGCCGCCTATCGGTCTCAGAGAGGAACTGTCTGAAATCCTCACGAGCCATGAGAACACATGCGAGATTACTGTCAGATATGTCTTCATACATCAGCCACTAGACACAGCATATCTGCATGAACTCTGTATCAGACAACAGGAAGTACAGCAAGTTCTGATGTTGGTACGTTTAAAAACGTTTTCATATATATCTACAAATAAATACATATAAATAAATATATACCTACAAATGTATATATAGACACACATATGTACATGTCATTTACAAATAAATGATTTTTAAAAAAACTTCTGAATTCATGCTTAATATTTCAAAACAACACCTGCAGTTTATAGAGCAGGTTGTGATGTAAACAGTTTGTGTAGAAAAGAAAAACACGAACCATGAAAAATCACACATTTCCAGAGAATTCCTAACACTGTTACACAGGGGACACAGTATTTCTGTTTGATTTGATGTCTTATATAGATCTGTTTCTTCCATTTATTCATTAATCAGATGCTTTTACCCGGTTTGACGAAGCAGCAGCAGAACGAGCATAGAAACAGTTTAATTTTAGCTGTAAAGAGCATGTTGAGTTGTGTCAGCTGTCCAATGATCAGTAATACCCACTAATCAGTCAGTTATGAGCGCACATATCTGTGTGTCTGGACACTCTGTCTTTAATCTCTCTCTCTCACTCACACACACAGACACACTGATCCTCCACAGAAGTGTGTGAATGTTAGAGCAGACACACACACACACACACACACACACACACACACACACGACAGGACTGCTGGCTAGCCGTTTTGCTTTAATGATATCT